GGCCACAACTTAGTAAAGCATAGGAAAGAGATCCTAACGCATGGCCACAACTTAGTAAGGCATAGGAACGAGATCCTAACGCATGGCCACAACTTAGTAAGGCATAGGAACGAGATTGTAATGCATGGTCACGACTTAGTAAGACATGGGAATGAGAATGGGAATTCATATCGCTGCTGTCGGAACAAAACCTCGTATCTCCAGAATAGTAACTTTACAGGAGAAGGAAAAAACATAGTTTACTTTTAATGTAAGTCAATGGAACCAGACTTTTTTCCAAGTCATTTTGGGCCGTTTCTTTTGGTCCATTCATCATGAAATTTACACACAATGTAAAGAGCAACAGACATCTTTAAATTATGTCAAAAACTGAAACACGATAAAAAAAAAATATGGATATGCATATAAAAACTAGCATTGTCGTATACAAGTTTGGGCACCACTGGCCAAAGACAGTTAAATAAAAGAACAGTTAGCAACATTTTTCCGATAATAATTATAAATATTACTAATATTATTAAGTGCCATCAAGTCAGTTCCCACTCCTGGGGACCATAGACAGGGTCCTTCCAGAAGATCTTCTGATTTGGCCTTTGAGCTTCCTAATGGCTTCATGATTCCTCTGATTGAATCCATGCATTCATCTAGTAGCTGGTCGTCATCTTCTGCCTTCAGCTGTTCCAAGCATAACTGTCTTTTCCAATTAATTAGCAGTTTTTAATCATGTTGTAAAGTTTTTTGGTTTTTTTTTTTACTTTGGGTTAATTGAGATTTTGTAACATTATTGAAAATATTGTATGTTTTTGTATGATGTTTGTTTTAATTCTCACTATTTGAGTGTTTCTGTGCCGGACTGTGAACCTGCTGACCCTCTGAATCTGTGACACACACACACACACACACACACACACACACACACACACACACACACACACACCAGCAATATGGACCACCGGTCTGACTAGTCATCTGCTTGTTTTCTCTCTCTCTCTCTCTCTCTTTCTCTCTCTCTTTCCTTTTTTTCTCTCAATCCATCTCTCTTCTTTCTGTCTCCTCATTCCCTTCTCTCTCTTCTCCCTCTCTCTCTCTCTTTTCTTTCTCTCATCTCTCTTATCTCTCTCTCTAACTCTCTCTCTCTCTCCCTCATCTTTCTCTTTTCTATCTTCTCCACTGCTCTTGTTTTTCCTGTTTCTCTCTTGTTTCGCCTCATCTGAGGCTCTTCTTTAATTGAAAGACCGATGATCTTCTGTCTAGACAACTTGAGAGCTTTAAAGGGGAATTCCACCCAAAATCCATAATTTAACATTTGATTCTTCAACATGAAGACAGCATGAATCAGTTTATCTAATATTAAACCAGACTTTTTGGAGCTGGAAACAGGAGCTTGTAGAAGATACCAGAACACATTGTGGATGAGGTTAAGGAAGTGACATATGGAAAAAACTTAACAAAATTCCTTTTTTATGTTTTGAGTTTAACATAATGGAAAATAATTAAAACATACCTTATAAAATGTGTCTTGTCATTTGTGCATTAGGATGTGCTGAAGTGTGTTTTCTGTAGAGGACGTGTACTGAATTTTACCTCTCTCAGAGCATGTAATTGGATCCAGGACCCCCTAAACTTTTGCACATGACTGCATATGGGGAACCAGGCCACTCTTACTGTAATGTTAGACCTTACAAAATTTTATTTTTTGTTGCGGTCTTTAAACGTAAATGTACACGTGCATGCTAATTCACTGCTATCATGTTCCAGCTTTAGATGGTGTGGCTAATATTGTGATGAAGCTCCTCCAAACACAGCAAAGAGTCGTATTTTAGGAAAGAAACTGAATTAATTAATTTAACTAAGTTAATTAATTCATCCAATAAACGTGTTAAATTATGGATTTTTGGAAAGAATTTTGGGCACAAAGTTCAAAATGAAAAGAAAACCTGAAACGCAAATCTCTTTGGTGCCCACCTTTCCACAATGGCACTATCAGCATGTTCATAGAGCTTCTTCATTTGTCTGTTGGTTTGTTTCAGTGAAATGAATGTATGTATTAACTGTTAAGGTTAATATGTTTCTTTCAATAGAGGCACATCCAGGATCGTCCTGAGGCGACCTCCGTTTGGCTCTTTCTACAACGCAGACTATCTTTAGAGTAGATGTTAGAGAAGAAAGGGAAGATAAGTGGCTGCGTAATTCTCTAAACGGCCTTGATTTATCAGCGCTCGACAGCCATTTCCATCATTTTAACCTTCCAGCGTGTTAAGCTGTGAAGAGAGAGCTTTATGGAAACACCTTTTCTGCAGCTTTGCCACTTCTGACAGGTCGTAGACTCGAGAGTTAGGAAGACGCTCATCGCATCCTTTCTGCAGTCACTCGTAATGAAATCATTATGCTGAATTATATATAAACTCTGCTGAGTTGGTGTCAGACTCATATAATCCCTTTAGGGTGGATATGAATAGGTATAGACTGAAACCCTAGCTAGCACACGTGCTCTTGTAAGGTTACTTATATGGCATCTCAAACATTGTGTAAATAAAGCACCCGTGCAGGATCTCTGCGGGTTTGTCCAAACACAGCCATAAACCTTCCCGGACATGTAAGTTGGAAGAAGCGACAGAGAATCTGTATTTGAAGTGGAAAAAATCCGTCTCCAGGTCCGCAGAGGCTGCAGCTTTGATCTCATGAAAATGAGCGAGTGAGTCTCTAATGCCTAGCAGTCAGAAATTCAAAAGGTTTCTAATCCTTCATAAGCGCTCTTCGTCCCTGAGTGTGAAGTAGTCATTTTCCTCTTAAATCCACGGCTGAAAGTGAAACGGCTGCTAATGTAAGCCAGCCTGGCTCTCCTTTAGTTCAGTCGCTCGCTAACTGTAGCTTCTTCGTGTGCGTTCTCTCTGCTAACTCTTTATACAGTCGCACCACCACCACCACCACCACCACCACCACTTCCTTACCCCAAATGTATTCAATCAGCAAAGAGTTTGGTGCCTGAAGTTTGCTTCTTTAGTTTAATACCTGAGCTATGACCAGCTAAACCAGCGTATCGTTATTGTCGGAAGAAAACCTTGTATCTCTAAAATGGTAACTTTACAGGAGAAGGAAAAAACATACTCTACTTCTAATGTAAGTCAATGGAACCAGACCTTTTTCCAAGTCATTTTGGGTCGTTTCTTTTGATCCATTCATCATGAAATTTACACACAATGTGTAAAGAGCAACAGGTATTTTCGAAAACTGAAAAATGACAAAAATGGAGATTCCTCCTGATGTTGGGATGAATTATTAGACAGCGGCACCACAGGAGACGATGCCCTGCTTTAAAGTTAAAACAAACACATATATTACTCCAGTGTTTTAAACATTTGTAGACACAAATCTGAGTTGCTTCATGTGGTCCTGAGTGGTGCAGTGGACTAAGCCATCACCCCAACAGGAGGTTGTGAGTTTGAGCCCCAGCGATGCCACAGCCATCCGTAAGTGTGTCCATAAGACGAAAAATGTCTAGCAGCATTGTGTGATGGAAAGAGTCCTGGCTAGTGAAGAGGTTGAGTATAAAAAACAAGTTTTTTTATTAACCTCACCGAGACGCAGAACTAAAAACTTAAGAGAACTTTTGACTCAACTGAGAAATTTGAGTTGAACTCTTGTGTCCTCAAGTTGAGTCAACTCAAGAAAAGCCATGTAGTCAGTTACTACATCATTTTGAATTGAGCTGACCTCTCATTTTTAACAGTGCATAAGGAGCGGGTCCTCTTCCTCTGCCACCATGTTTCTACAGAAGCCCAGAATGGACAAACCAAGCACTGGCTCTAGAGGGCGCCTTTCATGTTTATACATTGAAGCAGCAGCGTGAATTTGGTGGTGCTGTATCTCCAGGTGGAAGACGTTAAAGGAACAAGAATCAGTGGTTGCTGCCGGTGCTGGCTGACCAGTTGAGAGAAGTTTGAGATTTTTTTGATCAAACTTATTATTTAGCACATGAAAAAGGAAAGGAGGTGGATCTTTGTCGTCAAAGAAGCAAAAACATGGCAGCCACCATAGGTTCTACTGCACGCTTGGAAAGGGAGGGGCGAGGGAGGGGTATTCAGTCGGTTGCAATCTGCAACCTCACCACTAGATGCCACTAAATTTTACACACTGCACCTTTACGACAACAAAAAGCTTAATGTTTCGCCATTTTGGGCCATTATTTTGCACGGGACTGTAAGCTAATACACAAAAATTAGCATTGTGCAAAGTATATGACCATGTCTAGTTGTGAAGTCATCTGAAATTGACTTACCTATGTGTTTTCTGACGCTGTATGACAGAAATATGGATAAAAATAAGGGCTTCAAATTGGTTACTACTTATGTCTTCAGCTATGTTACTGTGCCTTTATTCATTTTTATAGATAACACAGTGTTATAAAATATAAGAAAACATGTAAATAAGTCTATTTGAGATTACTGAACTCCTTTTTTATATTATTTTGATATTATTGGGATAAAACATAAAACATAAAATGTAGCCTGTCCAAAGGTTATGACACATTTTATATAAATAGAAATAAATAGATAAGAATTAAATAAAATTTGCATATAATTAAATATGTCTCTGTAGAGGATGTTTTAACCTATTTTCACTTGTAATTTGAAACTTGTAACTTGGCCAGGGGTGTTCAAACGTGCATACAGCTGTGGGAACACTCCCCCTCTTAGCTCCACTGCAAAACTTAAGGCTCCAAACACATCTTTGCTGACTGACTACATTTGGCTTAAGGGGGGAATTGGGTTTTTTGGCCAAACTATCACTTTAATCTAAATCTCATATTCCGCCAATGTTTTATTTATTTGTTTATTGCTGTCCCGGTCTGGCTGTTGTCTCGCACTGGATCCGTGCCTGCTACTGAAAGCTGTTTGGCTTGAATGTACCTGTAGATCTGTGTGTGTGTGTGATTGCCTGTTAGAGCCAGTTGTTGTAAATGAGCCTCATTTGCACGGTTCATTTGTTCTCCTTTGTAGAGCCAAGCCGAGGCGCACTACAAAGGCAGTAAACATGCCAAGAAGCTCAAAGCACAAGAGTCCACGAAAAATAAGCAGAAAGGCGGCGGCGGCGCCCCGGAGAGCGGTGCCAAGCCGGCCAGCACCGGCCCCGTCCCGTCCAGCACTGACAGCAGCACTGAGCAATCAGGTTAATGCCAACTTTATTTCTCACCTGCCTGCTCTTCTCCTCTTCATCTTCCTCTTCCTCTTCTTCTTCCTCTTCGTCCTCTGCTCATACTGGCTGTGGTCCAGCATGCCCTGTGTGTCCTGTCACTGTGTCTCTGCATGCGTTTTGTGTCTCCATGTTTGTTTATGTGTATTTTCGGGACAAAAATGCACCAGACTGCACACTTGGTGGTTCTTCAAGGGTTCTTTAGTAAAGAAAATGGTTCTATATAGAATCCATGAACACTCAAAGAATCCTTTGCATGATTAAAGGGTTCTTTGCATCATGAAAGTGCTTTTCAGATTGATAGAGAATGTGCTGTAGATGGTTCTATAAAGAACCTTTTTGAAAAGGGTTCTATACAGCACCAGAACGGGTTCTTCTATAGTTACAATGTCAAGCTTGTTACGATAGAAGAACCCTTTTTGTGCTATATAGAACTTTTTTCAAAAAGATTCTTTATAGAACCATCTACAGCACATTCTCTATCAATCAGAAGAACCCTTTTAAAGGGTTGTTTGCTTGGTGGAATGGTTCTTCAGATTGATAGAGAATGTGTTGTATATGGTTCTATATAGAACCTTTTTTTAAAGGGTTTTATATAGCACCAAAAAGGGTTCTTCTCTTGTGAACATGTCAAGCTTGTAGCAATAGAAAAACACTTTTTGGTGTTATATAGAACCATCTACAACACATTATCCATCAATCTGAAGAACCATTTCTCCATGCAAAGAACCCTTTAATCATGTAGAGGGTTCTTTAAGTGTTCATGGTTCTATATAGAACCATTCTCTTTACTAAAGAACCCTTGAAGAACCATCTTTTTTAGAAGTGTATATTTGGATAGCCCCCAATAAATGATCTACAGATGTGTAAGTTATTAATCACCTGTCTATTGAAACTCAGTCAAGTCTCAGCAGTGTTGGGGTCAAGGTTAAGATTAGGACCAGGGTGAGGGTTAGGCTAAGGTTTTGGGATGAGGTTAAAGTTAGGGTTAGGGGTATGGTAAGGTTTATATTTAGGGACAATTAAAGTGAATTTGATGGGGCTCCCGAGTGGCGCAACCGTCTAAGCGTTGGCCCTATCATCAGGAGATCGCGAGTTCGATCCCTGGTGATGCTACAGCCGTCCGTAGCCGGGAGTCCAAGAGAGCACAATTGGCCTCGCTCTCTCTGGGTGGGTGGGATGGCCCCTCCTTCTCCCCCCATCACCCAACGCGATGCTAGTCAGCGCAGGCGTCTGTTAGCTGACGTAACAGATCTGGCGGTTGGCGCTTTCCTCCGAGCGCGTTCAGCTGTCCAGTGACGTTGCGTGAGCGGCAGTTCGAAAAGAAGCGGTGGTGCTTCACAGGTCTCGGAGGAAGCCTGTGTTAGCCTTCGCCCTCCTAGCATTGATAGCATCGTGTGATTGGGGGAGTCCTAACTAGCGGGTGGAATTGGAAACGACTAAATTGGGGAGATAATTGGGTGAAAATCCAAAAAAAAATAAATAAATAAATTAAAGTGAATTTGATGGTTGTTAGGCTAGTAGCCTAGTCATAGAAGAGCCAGCAACAAGAAGGTTGCAGGTTCAAATCCCACAGCTGACCAGTATACCTGGTTGGGTAAGACACATAACCCCTTGCTACCTCAAACGGCGCAGGTGTTGCTCTGCTGGCGACGCTGTGCTGCTCCCAGACTGGGCTATTTAGGCAGCAGAACGTCAAATATTCCTTGTAGAACTAAAAAACATAACATACATAACAACAACTTATATCACTGCTATCAGACCAAAACCTCGTATCTCCACTTTTGTAGCTCTTCAGTTTTTGACATAATTTGAAAATAACTACTGTCCTTTACATTGTGTGTAAATTTCAAGAAGAATGGACCAAAAAAAACGGCCCAAAATGACTTGGGAAAAAAGTCTGGTTCCATTGACTTACATTAAAAGTAAAGTAGGTTTTTTCCTTCTCCTGTAAAGTTACCATTTTGAAGAGATGACGTTTTGGTCAGACAGCCGTGATATGCAAAAAAGCATCCTTTAACCATACACGGGGGATATCCAAATAAAGTTTTATTCAAAATGTCCTTACTTAGGAAAACAAGTCCTTACATTGTAGAAAAAACAAGTGTGTGTATTGTCAGAGGGGGACTTTCTGATTGGTCAGTCAAGAATCAACAAGAATGTTTCAAATTTGATTAAAGTCCTTTAGGAATCCTGAAGGACTAATCAAATTGAAACATTCTTGTTGAATTGAATGAATCATCAGTGAATCATAGATCTCAGCACAGTTTGATTCAGTTGTTTTGCTACGATTCTGAATCACCATTACAATCAAAAGTTTTTAAAGTTTTTTACTTTATTTAAGATAATAATTTATACAATGTGAATGTAAATATTAGACACTGTTCACCAGAAGGAATTGTAGGTATTTTTAGGAGGATCTCTGTTCATACAGCTTGCAGTCTCGACTCCACTCAGCCTGATATTGAGCTTCTTAATGTTGACCCTTTGTTGTGTGGGTTCACGGAGGTGAACGCCTGCCAAAGCACAGCACACATCACATTAACCGGCTCTCAGAGAGATTCCTGATCATTCCTTTTCCTCCTCAGTTATCGCTCCAGTTTGAGTCACTGCTCATTTCAAAGAATCAAATAATGATCTCTGTGTGTCCCACGCAGAGCAGCACTCAGCACTCAGATTATATTATTCATTCAAGATCATTTACCATTCAGACACGCAACACTCTCTCTATACCTCTCTCTCTCTCTCTCTCTCTCTCTCTCTCTCTCTCTGCCTCCCTCTCTCTGTCTCTCCCTGTCTCCTTCTCTCTATACCTCTCTCTCTCTCTCTCTCTCTCTCTCTCTCTCTTTATATCCCTCTTTCTCTCTTTCTCTTCTATTTCTCTCTCTCTTCATTATCTCTCTTTTTTCCTCTCTCTCTTTTCTTTCTCTCTTGTTCTCTCTCTCTGACATTCTCTCTCTCTCTCTCTCTCTCTCTCGATCTGTCACACTTTCTCTTCTCTTTCTCTCTCGCTTCGTATCTCTCTTCCTCTTTCTATCTCTCTTCTCTTTCTCTTTTACTCTCTGTATGACATTCTTGCTCTCCATCTCTTTTCCACTCTTTCTCTTCTCTTTCTCTCTTCTCTCTCTCTCTCCCTCATTTCCTCTCTCTCTCTTTGCCTTCCTCTTTCTCTTCTCTCTTTCTCTCTTTTTCTCTTACTCTCTTTCTTTCTCTCTCTCTTCTCTATTCCTCTTCCTTTTCTCTCTCGTTCTCTTTCTCTGACATCCTCTCTCTCTTTTTCTCTTTCTCTCTTAAACCCTATCTCTTCTCTTTCTATCTATTTTCTATTTCCATCTCTTTATATCTCTCTTTCATCCTCTCTCTCTCCCTCTCTCTCTCTCTCTCCCTCTCATTAGTCAGTGTTGGTTCTCATTGCTATTCAGTGTCAGGGCTCAGTTGATCAGTCCAGATGAACATCAGGCTGATCTGCAGATGGCCTGAAGGTTCAACACACACAGCTTCAGCTTCAGCTCTCAGTTTAACCCCTTCAACCTTACATTTATTAATAACACATTCATTCAGTAACTAATATGAATTATTCAGTTAATACTATGAATTATTCACCAGCTTATATGAAGTATTCTGTAAGCATCATGAACTGTTCAGTTTTATTTAGTATCTACTTTGCATATCAGTAATGACAATTAATTATATGATAAATAACATAATAGTAACATATAATGTGAATTATTCAGGAAAACCCAGTCTTGTTTCTGTGAATCATTGGGCCATTACATAGACTTCCATTTTTCTAGTGGAGACTTACCCAAATATTAACCAGAACTACTGCTAGCCTAAGCTTAAACTTAACACTAACCCTAGACTCAACCTTACTCTCACCTTAAACTGAATGATTTACATTGTGGGGACCAGCTTGGGGTCCCCACAGTGTAAGTGTATGAACAGGTCTTGGTCCCCACAGTGTGAGTGTATGAACAGGCTTTGGTCCCCACAATGTAAGTGTATGAACAGGCCTTGGTCCCCACAATGTGAGTGTATGAACAGGTCTTGGTCCTCACAGTGTGAGTGTACGAACAGGTTTTGGTCCCCACAGTGTGTGTATGAACAGGTCTTGGTCCCCACAGTGTGAGTATATGAACAGGTCTTGGTCCCCACAATGTGACTATATGAACAGGTCTTGGTCCCCACAGTGTGAGTGTATGAACAAGTTTTGGTCCCCACAATGTGGCTTAAACCTTCTCTATACACACTCGCAGTCCTCCAGCTCTAGTTTAACACACCCAGGGCCTGATATGTGTGTGTTTGAGAAGGCTGCATAGTGCCCTCACAATGTGTCTGACGTTAACAGTCAGTTTACTATGGCTGCATCTCTTCACATAGACTTTGTGTAGGACCACCCAAACTGCGCTACACATGTGAGGCACAGCATTTCAAAAGCACAGTAAAGTAGTGGAGTAGCCCACGAGCATGCAGTCAGCCTCAGTTTCAGTATCTCCATCCATTTTTTGCACGATCCTCTACAGACTGCACATGCATATCGCTGCTGTCAGAACAGAACTTTGTATTTCCATTTTTTTTTTTTGACATAATTTGAAAATGCCTGTTGTCCTTTACATTGAACCAAAAGAAACAGTACAAAATGACTTGGAAAAAAGTCTGGTTCCATTGTCTTGCATTAAAAGTAAAGTAGGTGTTTTCCTTCTCCTGTTAAGTCATTATTTTGGAGATACAAGGTTTTGTTCCGATAGCAGTGATATGGAGGACTAATCGTCCCCCTGGCATTATAGCATTTTTGTCAAAATTGAGTTATTCACTTATTCTTATTCTCTGACAACTTCATAACATGATAAGTTGTGTGCATTTTTGGACTCTTTATCTAGAAAACAAAAAGGTTCTATCTCCAAAGTCAAACTCCAAGTTAGTTCTATAAGGTTCTATCTGTAAACCGTTCAGCACTTCAAATACACACAAGAGGA